CCCCAAAACCCCAAAACCCCAAAACCCCTTGATGCTTTTTTAGTTTTTATCTCAATAATTAGAAAACTAAATTAAAATTAATAAAACATAGTTAGAAAGTAGCAACGTAATGTCAGATATCAAGAATATTTATAACAATCACAGCATCTTTACTAGCACTAATAATCGAAATTTTCAAAAGAATACTCAATTGCTTAATAAGGGGAAATCTTTATCCAAGCTCTGTCTAAGTCCGACACATATGGTTCACCCAAGAGGTTCAACTGCTTCTCTCGCGATCAAATGTAAAAACCTGTTAATAATTAAATTTCATAGAGAGCATTGATATGGGCTCAAGAAATACTAAAGTTGATTCCCTAGACAAGCAGAGTAAAACAGGTGGATTTTGTTTAACCAGTAATAAGATAGCAGTTGATCTTGAGGAAATAAAAGCTTCTTAAAACAGGCTATCTATGGCAGTTAATATGTGAACTGAGCAGAGTTAAGATAATACTCTCAAAAAGAGTTCTTTAAATTAATAGTAAATCGATTAAAAGGAGTTAAAATCGCAAAAACTAAATAATTAGCAAAGTCAAAGTAGTACTAATGTGACAAAGCAGCAATCGTAGAATCAGAGCACTTAGTAGAAATACACTTAATACCAATCTAATAAGAATTTGATTAAGGTGAATCTTTTAGACAAGCCAAGAAATTCAAATATTGGGATAAAAGGTCCACATCCATCCACTCAGATCAAGAATCTCAAATTTGTTCCATTAAATGTGCTATCAACACCAATCTTGTAATCATTATCACCAAGATCAGATCACTAAATGCAGACTGTTTCAGCTCCAACTTATCTCTAGAGGAAAAATTCTCAAGAGAAAAGTCCTCCAAAGTTTCAAAATTCAACAAAAGCCTATCAAACATAGTAAAGATAAGTAGAAAACTATCTAAAGACATTTAACTCTCCAGAGCATGTCCGTTATTCATCCAAAATCTAAAACAGTAAAAATATTAAAATGCAGACCTAATTAAAAACAACTAGTAAGTACAATGTTGCGGATGAAAGATATTCATTTTCTCCAATTGTGTATAAATCAAAGCAAATCAAGCATTAAACGGACATGGAAAGAGGAACAATCTAATCTAAGAAGCCCAATCAAGATTCTCTTATTTTATCAGAATACAATGTTTATCAAACTACATAAGCTTCTTTCCCTAAATAAAAAATCATGACAAGTTTTTAACAAGACTTACCGAATGTCTGCTAGACAATACCAGTAACTACAGAAACAAGTAACTTTATCAAGATCTGCTAAGAGGATCTTTAGATTTGTGATGTAGTAGATGAACCTACAAGCAAAGAGAATGATAAGACACAAGACCATTCATCAAATGCTTATTAAGCTTCAAACTGGAATAGTGTTTAGTAATTTTACAACAATGGATTGATTCAAAAGTCAGTTAATACGGATGGAATAGCTTGCATAAACTTTTCATTAAGATCAGTTTCTAACATGAGTTTCACGAATTAAGAAGATGCTAACAGAAGAGTATCTAGAAACAGTAATGTTTAGGACTACGAAGCTAACAGTAAGAGTAGACTTAATGACTAGCATAGATCTACATCTCTAAACAATATGCAAAAGCGTAGTGTAAGTTATTTTTCATTAATATTATCTTTAGAGTCAACTATTCTAGCCAAGTAAGACTGATTAAGGAGTCGCTGAAAGGTTAAAACAAAAGTAATACATAAAAACTAAAGTGAATACATTAAACTAAGGATCTCTTGATAATTCTTATAAGAAACTGTAAATTTCAAAAAAGCAATAGCCAGTCCAGTCTACTAGAAAGAATAGTATTTCAACAGCTAACAATTCATCAAAGATTATTGATTTTAAGTAAAGGAGTGACAGATACTCAATGTTGATTTAGACAAATAATTCATCTCCATCTTAATAGCCATATTCATCTAAAACTTCTACAGCTTAGTCAAAGAAATTAATTGATTAGCATAAACCAAAGGAAATAAAACCCATATATGGAGTATTAAATGAAAGAGGAAAGCACTTAATTAGCAATGCTAGTAAAAATTTCAATTCGAATTTTGGGAAAATGCAGAATTCAGAGCCAAAACATTAAAAAGGAGAATAGATCAAAGTAGAAATAAGACAGAATTATATGAGTTCAATATCTTCCTAAAATAATCTACTTTCCACTAAAACCATAAGCGGTGTAGATCCTGATCATAATAACAATACTATGTTGTATAGCGGAACGTATAATACAAGCAGTCATCACACATCGATATGCAAAGACAATTCCGATCAAAATAATATGGATTCATAGCTGTTAATTGATATGAGTGGAGTTAGCAGCAAGCTAAAAGTATTTGTTGAAAGATACAGTTCAGAATTTGCTCTTCTCAAAAGAGAAGTCGTATCACTAAGAGAAAGAAATTAATTCTTGGAGTCACAATTGATGCTTTAAAGTAATAGCGTGACCACTGCAGGAAGTACTAGTAACACAATTCCTAAATATCAAAAGGTCTAAGAATCTATTGCAAGGAGGAAATGTTGACTGCAGATCTTAATAATGATTGTAAATGAAGATTTATATCTAACAGTGACTATGAGTGACTTGATAGATAATTAAATACTTGATCATGAATTATTTACTTAAATTAATTAAATGATAGATAATTATTAATAAGTGAATGTCTAATAAATAAAAGTTAATAATTTATAATCGCTTAAGACATAAAATTAAATTAAGCAAAAACAAGTGGTCACAGGGAGGATCGAACTCCCGACCTTCGCGTTATTAGCACGACGCTCTACCGACTAAGCTATGCGACCTACTTCGATATTTGTACTCTCGAATCTCTTTTTAAATATCTTTCACAGACAACTTGCCTAGATTAACTGATCAAAGAATAAGATAAAATGATTGTGACTTTGATAATTAAACCTATATTTCGCATTTATATAAATTAGAAATAAAATAAATAGGAAATTGACTTTTCATGAGAATAAAGCGTTTTTATTTTCACTGATGATTTAGTCGTAGAACTAGAGTCATTGTCACAATAGTATGTTTCCTCTGGAAGTAGGAGATTAGATAAAAGTAAAAAAACAGATTTTTAAAATGTCAAACAAAAAATTAGAATAGATCAGATCAATTGTATGAAATCTACCCCTATCTTAATGATATTGCCCAAAATTATACAATGAATATAAATTGTATACCATAAACTAGATTTATTAGCTATTACCCAAAACTATCTCATCTCTATTTTAGAGTAATTGAAAATATATATCAATAGTTCTAATTATACATGCATCTATATATTTAAGCACATCATTATATTTTACTTACTTTATTCTCAAGACTACTTACCATCAAGTTAGATGGGGTTTTGGGGTTTTGGGGTTTTGGGGAATAA